AAAAAAAAAAAAAAATCGATTTTATGTAATGCAGGGGAACCTTGTGGAAAGAAATTTTGACATACGAAGAGAAGCAGGTGGGGTCGACTTTAGAGCCGTGTCTCGGGATTACACGGTTCGTGTGGAAGAAAATTACCTCGAAGTCCATTTGTTTTGGGCCGGGAGAGGGACTTGCTGCGTGCCGATTCAAGGGATGTACGGGCCTTTGATCTCGGCTATAAGTGCAACTCCAGGCATGTAAATAATAATAATAATAATAATAATAATAATAATAATAATAATAATAATAATAATAATAATAATAATAATAATAATAATAATAATAATAAAGGTTCGGAAAAACCAGCTTTGCTCTTGAAATTTCATTTTTTTTTCGGGTTTAATTTGTGCAGATTTTGTGCCGACCGTGTCGAATAATCCTCCAGGCGGGAGCACGAACAGGACGGGTATGATTGTTGGGATTGTTGTCGGGGTTTTAGCTGTAGTTTTCGTTGCTCTAGGCGTGCTATACGTGTACCGGAAGAGACAAAGGCAGAGAAATTTTGAGGATCAAGGTTAGTTAAGCAATGCCATATTTTAACACGGTTCAAGTTAATCGAGCAAATGACCGATTCTTCTTACAGCTTGTTCACCTAATGTTCTGTGTTTTTTGTTAACAAGAAATTAATCCCATATCTTTAATTTGGAAAATCGATCGTCTCATTTTTTTCTTTCTTTTTGTTTTTGCAGTGTTATTGGGGATTGACACACGACCTTACACCTTCAGTTATGGCGAACTCAGAGCCGCAACCGATGACTTCAATCCTGATAATAAACTTGGTGAAGGAGGTTTCGGAACCGTATACAAGGTACATCACTATTTTCCAAAGTAAAAAAAAAAAAGTGTATATACATAAGGAAATGACTACATTGCCGTCACAGAATGATTTTGCTAATGTACATGTGTATCTAAGTATCTGAAGTCTAATAATAACCACGAAATTATTCTGTGACAGGACTTTAGTGATCTCCTATACATAATTATATGGCAATTAGTCTCACATTTTCAATGTGGACTTTAAGACAATAATGTGAAATGTAAACACATGAATTTTGTCGAAACAGGGAACTCTTGGGGACGGGAGAGTAGTCGCCGTAAAACAGCTGTCGGTGGCATCACACCAAGGAAAGAGCCAATTTGTGGCCGAGATCGCAACTATATCCGCCGTGCAACACCGTAACCTAGTCAAATTGTACGGTTGTTGCATTGAAGGAGAAAAACGGTTGCTAGTTTACGAGTACCTCGTGAACAAGAGTCTCGATCAGCTGTTATTCAGGGAAGGTAAATACTATTATCACATGACTAGGTTTTAGCTAAAAAGAAAATTCAATTGATTTTCTTTCTACAATATCTATTTACTTTTGATAGGGAGCAAAAGTGTATTTCTTGACTGGACAACACGTTACGACATTTGCGTGGGCGTGGCCAGGGGACTCGCCTATCTTCACGAGGAGTCTCGGTTAAGAATTGTTCACCGGGACGTAAAAGCTAGCAATATTCTTCTAGATTCTGATCTCGTCCCGAAAATCTCCGATTTTGGGCTGGCGAAATTGTATGATGATAAGAAAACCCATATAAGCACTAGAGTTGCTGGCACAATGTAAGATATATCCAAATTTAAGATTCATATAATCTTTTGTTTTTTGTGTTCCATAAATTGATTTTTTTTATTTTTTTTTTCGGGTGAAGTGGGTACCTAGCGCCGGAATATGCCATGCGCGGACATCTGACTGAGAAGGCCGATATATTTAGCTTTGGAGTTGTGGCTCTTGAGATCGTGAGCGGAAGGCCGAATTCCGACTCGAGTTTGCAAGATGATAAGATATATCTTCTCGAGTGGGTACGTTCACTACAAGAAAATTATGAAATTCCAGTGGAAAATTCTAATAGAAATATATTCCAATGAAATGTCAATGACAATTCCAATGCTATTATTTTTGTTGAAAATTTTCAATGGATCCCGATGAAAATTCCAACAAAGATATTCCATTGAAATGAGTTTTCCATTGAAATTTTTGGTAGATTTTCATGATTCCAAATGGTTGAAATATGTGTAAAAAAAAAAAATTTCTAACAGAAATTGCATATTCCAATTTATGTTGGAAGAATAGTGTTGGAATCATTAAATTTCATCTAAAATTCCAATGGAAAACTTATTTCAACGAAACATTTTCGTTTGAATTTCCGTTAAGAGTCATTATAACGGAAGCTATGTCATTAAAATATCTATGGAGATCTCCATTAGAGTGTATTACCGTTGGATTTTTTGATTGGAATATGACAACTTTTTTGTAGTGGTATTTTCTTCGAACCTTTCTTCACAAACTATACCCAACCTCACGGGACAAGAACAAGGTTTAGTCGTTTGGAAGCTAATTAACTCGTCCACATGCTAACGACAACTAATTTTTTCAGGCTTGGAACCTTCACGAGAACAACAAGGAATTGGACCTAGTCGACCCGACTATACAACAATACAATCCACACGAAGTAAGGAGAATAATCGGCATTGCCCTTCTGTGCACGCAAGCTTCGCCAGCCCTGAGGCCACCGATGACTCGGGTGGTGGCCATGCTCTCGGGAGACATGGAAGTGCCCACGGTAACCACACGGCCGGGTTACCTAACCGATTGGAAATTTAACGATTCCACAACTTTTGTTTCGGGGGTCGAGAGCTCGGAAATGAATTCCGACACGAGTCGGGCCAATAATAGTGCAAGTGGGTCGGGATATTCGCCCGTGGATCACTCCAAGCCCATGCTTCATGAGATCATTGGTGAGGGGAGATGAATACGGATGGAGTTTATGATCTGGAGATTCATTGTCTTGGTTTGTTGTTTAACTTGTGCATGTTGTGAGGTGAACTAATTAAATAGATTTATTTTATTTTAGTTTTTTCAATTTGGTTTGAGTTTTGTCTTCTGGTAAGCTAAGTATTTGTTGAGAGTGTTGTTAGAGTGATGGACAGGAGTTTTCGAGGGAGGAAGATGAGCATGGTGTACATTTGTATTTGTGTTTTAGCAAAGAGCTATTGATTATCACAAGCTATTAATCCAAAGTAGAGTTGTTCAACAGATTTGATTGGTGATTCGTATTTGTGAAATTCAAATGAGAATAGTGTAACAATAAATTTTATGAAAAACATAAAACTTTTGTACAATTTGATCTTATTTCATCAAATGATCTCTGTTTATCTCCTCTGATTCTTCTCTTTATTGACTTGGATTTGATCTTCAAATATGGATTTGGAATTGGGTTTCCTTTGGGCTTGATCTTGAATTCCTCTAACATTAATTTGGAGATCGAATGACTTTTTGGAAGACTTGATTTTTTGATCTTTCTAGAAGACGGATTTTGACTTGAATAACGTTGACTCGAGGGCTTGATAGTTTTTTCTCGGATCAAATGCTATGTTGGTTGAACTTCTCAACGAACGCGGCTTGAACGTCGTCGATATTCTTAGCTAGATTGATTTGATGGGAATAGAAGTCGTCTCTTTACTTCTTGAGAAGAGCCACGACATGAAATTTTAAAATGGACCAGACTCTTTATTACAATAATAGATGCACAGAGGTCATAACAATTAAAATTTATACGCTAACGTAGGTGTTGACTTAAAATATACTCACCCGCCCGCTGATTCAACACGACTCGAGCACAAGCCATGGCTTTGGGCCTTGGACTTAAACCTAACGACACGAGCGCAAGCTATGGTCTTGGGCCTTGGGCCTTGGTATCCTTAACATTATTGATTTGAACAAATTACCCAACCGAGCACACCCTTTAAATTTGTTGACTTATTTACCACCAATTTTTTTGGCGAATTTTTTAACATAATACAAGATTTTAAAATATTTATAAAAATACGAGGTTGTATATATTAATTGTATGTATACTTTATTGCTGTAATTTGGTGATAAAACAGAATCAGTTACCTAAATATCCGTTACCATGTTTAATTGAAAAATAATTTTCCTACAATTTATATATATATATATATGTGTGTGTGTGTGTGTGTGTGTGTGTGTGTGTCTCGATCTGTCACTAACTTGAATTAAGAGAATCTCAAGTGTATATTTTACGTTTATTTTATGTATATGTGTGGTTCGGTTTGAGAAAAGATTGAAACTTGAGTGTATATTTTATTTTACGTATATTTTATGTATATGTGGGTTCGATTTGATAAATGATTGAAATTTGAGTGTATATTTTATGTATAATTTATGTATATGTGTCCCGGTATGTAACCAGCTTGATTACGAGAATCTCAAGTGTATATTTCATGTATATTTTATGTATATGTGAGTTTGATTTGAAAAACGATTGAAACTTGAGTGTATCATCACCTCATTCACCTCTTCCTTTAAATTCCCCTTCGGTAGCAATTCAGGTTCAGAACAGTGATTGCCCGCATGATTATCGCCATCGAGTTTATTCACCGTGTTATCTCAATGGATTAAAACGGTATTAGCACGATTAGGCTCGGGCAGTGACGAATTTACATGTATTGATAGGGGGCAATAGCCCCCCCTCAAATTTTCGTTTTTTTTACTTTTAATATTACAAATTTTAATTTGCCCCCTTTTTAAATTTATTTTTGCACCCTCTTATTTTTTGTTTTTAAACGTCACTCACCAGACCAACTTGTCCACAATTGTCAATTAACAATTCAACACTTCTTTTATTTTACTATTAATTTTGTATATTGATTATTATCCATCTACAATTTTAATTGGCCCATATAAAAGACTTCAACTCTGATTTATTGGCCAGGCTAGCCTGGTATTTTTGACCAAAAATCGAATCAAACTGAACCGATGAGAACATAAATCGAACCGAACCGACTCGTGTAACGATAACTGAAAATCGGTTACCGAAATGTTATCAGTTCGGTATCGGTTCTAAACTCATTATGTCAAGTTTTTTGCTCCTTCTCAATTAATTTTCTGGCTTCGCCCCAGGGCTCGGGCTAGGTCTGCGGTCGGTGCTAGGGCCTGAAGTCGTCGCGACATCAATATCTTCCTCGGCGGACCGTCGAGTCCCGTAAATTGCGACAGATCGAAAAAAAAAGAGAAAAAAATCAATTAAAGGGGAAGAGAAAAAAAAAATAAATGAAGAAGAGAGAGAG